CAAAAATTGTTTGCGCTTAAAAAATTGTTCTCCATTTCAAAATTTGTTCTCAACATTCAAAAATTATTCGTGCTTCCAAATTTGCTCTCCATTTCAAAATTTGTTCTCAAGATTCAAAAATTGTTCGTGCTTTCAAAAATAGTTCGTGCTTCCAAATTTGTTTTCCATTTCAAAATTTGTTTTCAACATTCAAAAATTGTTCATGCTTTAAAAAATTGTCCGCGCTTCTAAATCTGTTCTCCATTTCAAAAAAATTTCTCAACATTCAAAAAAATTTCGCGCTTAAAAAATTGTTCTCCATCTCAAAATTTGTTCTCAACATTCAAAAATTGTTCATGCTTTCAAAAATTGTTCGTGCTTCCAAATTTGTTCTCCATTTCAAAATTTGTTCTCAAGATTCACAAATTGTTCATGCTTTCAAAAATTGTTCGAGCTTCCAAATTTGTTCTCCATTTCAAAATTTGTTCTCAACATGCAAAAATTATTCGTGCTTCCAAATTTGTTCTCTGTTTCAAAATTTGTTCTTAAGATTTAGAAAATGTTTGTGCTTTAAAGAAATGTCACAAATTCAAAAGTTGTTTGTGTTTCCAAATTTTGTTTTGAAATTTGAAAAATTGTTCCTGTTCAGTTTTTTGGGTAGTTTAAAAAATGTTTCCGTTCCAAAAAAATATGTTCGCGTCTCCAAAATTCGTTTGTGTGTTGAAAAAATGTTTGAATTTTCTCAAAATTTGTAAAATAAAACTAATAGTGTTCCCGTTTGATAAAATATTCACCTTTTGTTTTTGCTATTTTGGGAAATCGTAAAGTATGTTTTTCAAATGTGCATGCTTTAAATTTCCTTCACAAATTCATTTTTTTCACATTTTGTAAAAAAGGTTCCTGTTTTTCAAAATTTCTACACATCTTCAAAAATCAATCCCATTTTACAAGTTTGGTTAAAAATACACAACTTTTCAAACTCGTGCGTGCTTGGAAAAAACGTTCGTCTTTTAAAAAATGTTTATTTAGTATTTTCAAGAAATGACAAAAAAGCAAAAAAAACCCAATCAGGCGATTTTATCTAGTGTTAAAGTATTTGTGTTGCCTGTGTACCACGAAGAGCAGTAAGGCACAGTGGCTAGGTACTTGGCTTTGCAGCAGAGCGATCGCGAGTTCGAATCATGCGTGATGCTCTTCCTTTTTCTTACTACACAGCGAGCAGCTCTTGCGTGGGCCGGCCCAGTTGGAGCACTGCTCTATGCGAAGCTCCGACTTCTTGCCGCATAATGCGGCGTATAGGAGGTCCCGGCAACGAACACACAACTTACCCTAGTGCTGGTTGGTACATGGGCCGGCGCATCTTACAATTTTTTTTGCCTTCGTGAGCTTCTCACCGGTTTTGGGAAGGTTTTAGAACCTTCCTTGAATCGTTTTTTTTCTTTTTCTATGCTTTTGTTTTATTTTTTTAGTATCTTCATTTTCTTTATATTATTTTCTATTATTTCTTATCGTTTCACGAACATTTTTTGTCAATTTTTTAAATTTGCGATTTTTTTGAAATTTCAAGAAACTGCATTAAATTCATGAACATATTTTGAATTGTGAACATTTTCCAGTTTAAATTTTGTTTTTCTAAATCCTGGACATTTTTTATGGCGCGAACATTTTTTTAGACCACAAACATTTTTTGAATTCATGAACTTGTGAAGTTGTGATTTTTAAAATAAAAAATATAAAAATCATGATGAATTCGTGAATTTTTTGAATGCACAAACTTTTTCCAAAATCGTGATCATTTTTTCAAACTCCAGAGCTTTTCTGTATTCGTGTACATTTTTCTTAACGCATGAACATTTTTCTAAATTGCGAACATTTTCTAAACGTCTGAACATATTTAAATTTTGTGGCAGTATTTTAACATAAGAAACAGGCCCTCGAAAAAAAAAACATAAGAAACAGGTCGAAGTAAAAAAGCTTGGCCGAAAACTCGATGAGACAAAAATTACTAGTGCGCATAATACGGCAGTGTGCTGGCCCATTTTAGGTCCCAGCGCAGTGCGATTGGTGACTTTTTCCAGCGCAGTTCAGTGCGCGATTGGTGACTTTCCAGCGCATGGGCGCGGAACAGGAGCCTTTGTGCGTCGTCCACCTCGCTGACGGCTCGACTGAGAGGAGCTGAACCTGAACCTTTTCCATTTGTATTTCTATTTAAATCAGATAGAAAAAGCATTTGCGAGGATGCTTCCGTTCCCTGGCTGCTCTAATTAGTGTCCACATGGCACTTCGGAAAATGATCAGTGGTGCCAATCCCTAGCGATTTGTTGCCACCTTTCAACTGAGATGAAATCGCGCCGCACACGCAAGAAGACGCCGCGATCTCTTCATCAAATCTAGTGAAACTGTTAGCCGCTTCTTATCCAAAAGGGAGAAAAAAATGCAGAGCTTGCACTGTTCGGGTCAGAGAGCGCGGCGGATCCGTATCAGTTTAGTCTAAGACGCACGCTGATTGACAAAAGCGCTAGCAAACTCGATCAATGCATCTCCATGCTCAAAGTCAACGAAATCGCCACGCCAGAGATTTCATTTCCCTATATAAACTGCCTAGGCTTCCATGGCTCTGCCAACTCAAAGCACACACAAAGGCAACGCTACACCAAGATCATTATGGTTTCGGCCATGAAGCTGTCGGTCACCATCGTCCTCCTCCTCTCAGGCACGTCCACTCGTAATTTCGTATACTCGCATCCCTAATTCGTAAGGCTCAAGCTGAGAGATGGGTTCCTTTTTGACATTTTTGTGTGCGTGTGCTGGCCGGATGAACCTGCAGGGCTCGTGGTGTTCGGGGAGACCGCGGACGCCAAGGCGAAGGCGCCGTGCGCCGTGGTGTGCTTCCAGGGAGGCCACATCACCTGCGACAACTACCCCGGCCAGGAGCTCGACGGGTGCGACTGCGAGTGCGCGCCGGCCGACGGCAAGGGCTGCGTGCTCCACCTCGACGACGGCGTGACCCACACCAACTGCCGCACGCCCAATATGTAGCTGAATTGTTGGTTCGAGTTTGAGTTCAATAATGCTCTGCAAGCTTGTTGTCGAATAACGAAAGTGTTCGCGTGTGTGTAGTTTGGCAGTGTAATTCAACTTACATGCTTCGAATAAAATTAAGTAAATTGCACAAAACCACCACTTTGAAGGCTAAGTTTGCGAAGAACATATAATACATTTTTTTCGCAGAAAACACCACGTCTACGGTAATCTTTTTGCAAATAACACTGATCGGCGGCTTTAGCTCGGTTGACCGCGTTTATAACAGATGGGGCCTGCCAGGTTGACATGGCACCACTTAACATCTCACATATAACAACAACAATTCATATCGTTATCATCATGTGTGACCTTGTGGGATCCGCCTGTCATTGAAAGAAAGAAAAACTGGTTCCTCCACTGTACCGCACCAAATAAAGTCAACCACCCCGTCCTGCCGCCGCCCACTGTACCGCCCCGCCGCCGTTGTCCACTGTATCGCCGCCGCCCGTCCCGCCGTCGTCCGCGGCGAAGTGCCCGCAGCCGCACATGCCGCCGTCCTTCCCACGCTCCTGCGCCGCCCCCTTCCTCATCCTCTCCTCCCTCTCCAGCGTGCAGCTGGACTCCGCGGTCTCCGTTCCCGGCGGCGCCGGCGCCGGCGCCATCCACCTCCGTGTGTTCTTCAGAGTGCCCTACCTGCTCCGCCTCGCCACGGACGCAGGGGACTCCATGGCCGTGCGCCTCGGCTGGCAGCCACACCTTCTGCCGGTTCTCGACCCAGAGGCGGCGGTGCCGGACGCCGAGCACTATGCGCCGCTGCACGCGGCTGCTGTGCGGGGCAACTGGGAGAGGTGAGCAGGCTGGAGGGGCGGCCTTCCACCACACACCGAGGATGCCGTGAGCATGCTCCAGGACGACTAGATCGCCGGAGGTCGCGGCAGGGGCTCCCTGTTCTTGCGAGATCCGTGTCAAATTGGAGTGGAGGACCATGAATATGAGGTGCGGAAGGGGACGACAGCTCGATTCTTGCCGTATTGGGAGGAGTGTTGGTTAACCGCGGCGAAATTGGTGGAGCTCAGGGGCCATCGACGGCGGCGGCGCTCTGTTGGTTCGGGGAGAGAGAGAGATTAGGGAGGAGAGAAGAATGGGATGAAATGCTGACAAATGGGCCCCATGTCCAGGAAAACGGTTCAACTAACGGCGTTAAAAATTTGTTCCACATCAGTCTGATTGGCGGGTCCCATCTGTCATAAACATGCTCAGCCGAGGCAAATCCGTCGATCAGTGTTATTTGCAAAAAGATTACCGTAGACGTGGTGTTTTCTGCGAAAAAAAGTATTGTAGTGTTTCTCGCAAACCTAGCATTCAAAGTGGTAGTTTTATGCAATTTACTCAATAAAATTTTCGAGCATAATGTGTTAAGGCCCATAAAGAAAAATAAATAAGGAAATGTTAACGCCCACACGTGTGGGCGTTTGCATCTCGCCCACACGCGTGAATCCGCGTCCGTTTGTGAGCGCACGAATCTTGGCATGTTTCTAGTGTCACGTAGGACTGGTTTGGTGTGTGGGCATTCACCCGGTCGCTCACATGGCCGTTTCACCATGCGGGAGGGATTGGTGTGTGGGCGTTGAGCAGTTCGCCCACATGCCACTTTCCACGCGCGCACAAGCGCTAGTGTGTGGGCATTTGCCATCTCGCTCACACGCCCGTCTCCTCTCCCACACCCAAGCTGCTAGTTGCCATGTGTTTTGCAGTGTACATGGCAACTGCCCTAGTGTGCTTTATAAGCAGGTGGCAACTCTCTTTTTACCCGAGTTGCCATGTGTTTTGCAGGGGTACACGGCAACTGCCTAGTGTGCACGTAAGCAGATGGCAACTCTCTTTTACCGAGTTGCCATGTGTTTTTGCATGGTAAATGGAAACTGCCCTAGCGTGCACGTAAGCAGATGGCAACTCTTCTTTTTTACATGGCAACTGTCCTAATATGCTTGTGAGCACATGGCAACTCTCTCAACTGCCTAGTGTTAGTATGTGGCAACTCCTAGAGTTTTGAAATCATGGCAACTACAGTAGACCAGACCATACATGGCAGCTGCAGTTGAGCAACCATGGCAACTGCAGTTGTCCGACATGGCAACCGTAGTTCAGCGACATGGCAACTGCAGTTAAACGAACATGGACGAGGGTCTGGACCATGAAAACTGCGGACGCGCGGTGACTGTCACACGTGGCGTGTGAGACCACAAGATACGAGGCCTGACATACAGGACGTGTGGGCGTTATCTATTTCTCCCACACGCACGCGTGTGAGAAGGATCGGGAGGGAAAAAATGTGTGGGCATTACTTGTTTTGCCCACACGTAGGTGTGTGGACTGTTCTTCTTATATGCCACACAAAAATGTGTGGGCAGACTCCCTAACGCCCACATGTGTCACACTTGTCAGCGTCCAACAAATAATGTACAAACAATAAAAAAAACAAAAAAGAGAAGAAAATGAAAAAGTTAATTGTTTGTTGTGTGCAATAAAAAGGCACTCAGCAAAGAGTAAGGAGAAAATTAAAAGAACAAAATAATGTTTGCCGAGTGCTAAAAGAAAAAGAACTTTGTAAAGATTTCTTTGCCTGGTGCAAAGAAAAAAAAAACTCGGCAAAGAACTCTTTGCCGTGTTCCCGATAAAATTGCACTCGGCAAACATTTAGAAGTGGACAAGAATTTAGATTCTAGTGGTGCCGGTAGTACTCCCTACAGGTCCAATCTTGTGGAGCTTAAAGAGTGTGAGCAGAGAATTGACGAGACTTGTGTTGGTCTACAAACGTCCCAGTCTTCCTTAATTAACTTTGACAAAAAGCAGTAAGCGGCTAAACGCTGCTTTGCACATTCATGAAGTACAGTACAGTAATATACTATCTCCGTCCTGCTTTATTAGTCCCTTTTGTATTTAGAGTCATATTTTGATTAGGATTTTCACTAATAAATATAAGTTATACATAGCAAAAGTAATATCATCAGAAACTATATTCAACTATGAATCCAACGATATAATTTTTTATGACATGCATTAATATTTTGCTAGTTAAATCTATGATCGAAGATTGACACAAAATACAAAGGGAACAATAGACCAGGACGGAGGTAGTATATAGTAAGTTCGCGACAAGTGCACTTTTATGAACACGGTCCGAACGGTCGCGGGAAGTTTGATGGTAGGAGTTGAAGATGGCCAAAAAAGTCTAATCTGGTGGAGTTTAACGAGCGTGAGCAGAAGATTGACCAGATTGCGTCGGCCTACACACGTCCAACTCTTTCTTAATTAACTTTGACGAAAAACAGTAAGCGGCTAAGCGCTGCTTCCACGGTCATGGAGTATCGCTACAAGCGCACTCTTCATGGTAATTTAGACTGGTCATAGTGAGGGTAACATACGTAGTATCATGCATTTGAGATTCGTAAACATGTTTATGTGGCAGACAATTAAAGAAGAGAAAGATAATTATATTAACATAGATAGATACCGTAACATAATAAATGTTATGTTACTATATATTATGCATGACAATAATGAGATCATCTATAATATTAATATATGATACTATGCACTATAAATATAGTATCATACACTAGTATTATATGCATGATTATACCTGGCCATGGGAAGCCCGGCCCGGCCCGACGCTGTCCCTGGGCCGGGCTCGGGCCTAGATTTTGAGCCCGAAGGTCGGGCCGGGCCTGGCCTGGGCCCGTCGTTTTTGCGCTTTCCTGAAGGTCGGGCCGGGCCGGCCCGAAGCCCGACGGGCTTTTAGGTGTTCGGGCTGGGCTCGGGCCCCAAAAAAACAAGCCCGTTGGTCGGGCCGGGCCGGGCCCGGGCTTGGGTTTTTTTGCGTCGGGCTTGGCTAAGCCCGGCCCGAGCCCGAAGCCCGGCCCGGCCCGAGGTATGGCCAGGTATATGCATGATACTAATATATGATACTCTCCACTGTGACCAGCCTTATGGCCAGTCTTGTTAATTGGCACGTCTATATAAGAATGCAATGGGTATGTGTGGTCCACTAAATCTAGACCAGATCCAAGGCTGCTATCTTTTTTATGTAGTTGTTGCACTGAACCTAATTGCGAGACACGGGTTACTTTCTCTTTAGAAGGCCTAAGGGGCAGGAACAGCCCAACTGAACTTTTGATTAATCCATTTTTTATTTTCTATTTTCGTGAGAAAACTTATGATTTATTCAGTTTCAATCATGGCAGTACAGCAAACACCAGAAATATTAAAAATTACATTTAAATCTGTATACCATCTAACTTTTGACAAAAAGCAGTAAGCGGCTAAGCGCTGCTTTTCACATTCATGACATACAGTACAGTAATATACTACCTCTATCATGCTTTATTAGTCCCTCTTGTATTTAGAGTCATATTTTGATGAGCACTAATAAATATAAGTTATACATAGCAAAAATAATATCATCATAAACTATATTCAAATACGAATGCAACGATATCATAAACTAAGCGTTGTGTATTCATGGGCTGGGCCTAGATACATTTATATAATTTGGCTGAAAACTGGGCGGGCCTTGGCCCATTCGGCCACAACGTAGCTTCGTTAGTGATTGGACCAACACACTAGAGCATCAACCATCGCCGTTGAAGAAAGTCGTAAAACGGAAGGATCAAGCCTGTAAACACCCGAACGAAGACCGGATCCAAAAAGATCCACGAAGGACAACACCGACCAAATCCCGCGAGATCATGTGGAGACATACCTCCACATGATCCCCGACGAAGTTAGAAGCACCATCGGGATGGGATCAAACTTGAGAGACATTACTCCTATTGGGGAACATCATCGTCGCCACACAACCCCAATCAAGACGCTAAACCTAGCAAGACGAGAGCAGGGCCCCTCCCGCAGACTGGAGCCGAGGTCCTTCGCACCTCCATGGCCCAAAGACCATCGCAGATGTGGCGGACCGGCGACCGCGCTGACGGGAGGAGGAGGAAAGGCTGAGATATTTTCTTATGGAGGAGGAAAAAGGCTAGACAGCTGTTTCGTAAAGATCCAAGTTGAGCCTCCATACTTCAACTCGAAGCAGTGAATCTCCCATTCGTGATGGTCGATGGACCTGGATGAGCAGCTCTAGAAATAAAGAATGGAAAAAATGATGATTGTTTGACTGGACCATTTTGGATCCAGAGCACAATGTTGGATGCAAGATAAGTTTTCAAGCTCAAAGGAGGCCGAAAGCTTGCAGGTCACGTCCCACTGTGTGTGAGACTGAGACTTTTGAGCGGTACGTCAACCCGATCCATATCGAAATCGAAGAAACAGTGGTACGGGCTGGCCGCTGATCCATCCAGCAGGGCAAACCCCACAAACCAAGAGGCGCTCGACCAAGTCGGCAACCTCCTCTGACTTTTTGCCCTCGACCGGCCGGACAAAGCATGCTGCCTGAGATCGACGGGAAACGTGGCCATAGTTCTGAAATCCACGAAGCGGCCGTCGACGCAAGCACGTACGTATTGGAGCACATAGTATCGCCTGCCATGTGATCCCCAGTGAAACTACGCGGCACAAAGTCAGAGAGTGCGGCGAATCCAGCATGCAGTTTGGCTGTGCTGAACTGAAGCCTCCCTGTAGAAACGCCCCGGCACCGCGCTGCAACCACATACATATTCGCACGGCGCACAGACACGGAAGCGCAAGCATGGCCGCCACCATGAAGCTGTCACTCACCTTCGTCCTCCTCCTCTCCGGTAAGTCCATCCTTAATCCCGTATCCTTACGCTTCAACGACGCACAGTATCTGACGCTTCAACAACAGCACTCCCTCTGACGCTTTATCCTTGCTTGTGTTTGCTATGGATCGAGCAGCGCTGGTGGTGTTCGGGGACGCCGGGGCGACCTGCGACAACATCCGGTGCATCCAGGGAGGGTACATCACCTGCAAGAACTACCCCGGCCAGAAGCTCGACGGGTGCGCCTGCGTGTGCGCGCCCAAGGACGGCAAGGGCTGCGTGCTCCACCTCGACAGCGGCTCCACCAACAAATGCACCAAGTACTGAATCGTCATTTTCATCTCTGCTCTCGTGTTTGAGTTCGAGCTCAATAAAGCTGCATGTGTGCCGTACATGGAGTAAGTAACGAATGGAATGCTAGTTTGTGTCGTGGAATGAAATGGAATGCAATCCATTGATCAAGTTTTGTACTAGCAGGGCTAAGCACCGGCCAGGAAAAAATACATTAGAAAGAAAGAAAGAACTGAGAAAACACAGAGCTAGCTCAGTTTTTGGACCCCCTAATAGCTGGCGAACGTCGCTGCGACGGATAACATTTGCGAACATTTTCCTTGGCAGATTCTTCAGAGACGCATAACATCTTCTTCAGAGACAAATGACAGTTTCTGGGAAGAATAAAAATTTAAAATGAAAACGAGAAGAAACTGTCATCGTTTGATCTCGCGTCACAACTCACAACTAATATTGCTAGATATAGCAATAACCCAGATCCGGCGGCCCTACACCCTTCCCATCTCCCTCCCCACCTCGCCGCTACCGGAGGAACGGCCGGCGAAGCCGGCGCCAGCTCCCGGGATGGTGGCGGCGGGGCGACTTGGCTGGATCCAGCACTCCACCCCAATCTGACCGCTCCCTTTCGGTGGTGAGGGTCCGGATCTGAGGCGGCGGCTTTGCTGGTGCGGACGGCGCTCCTCAGACGGCGGGGAGTGCTTGTCGGTGAGGTAGGCCGGTTACCCTCGACTGCGTGGGCAGCGAGGTCCCGGTGGGCGCAGGTCATGGCGCGGGGAGGCCCCGGGCTCCCCTCGTCAGATCGGAGGCGATCCTGGTCCGCTCGTGATGCATGACCTCCGGTCGGCCTGGATCTCCGGCGTACACGCGCTTGCGGATGTTGTGGTTGGTTCGGAGGTGGCGGCAGGGTGCTTGGCCGGGGGAAACCTTTGGCCGCTGGTGGCGGTCACGGCGTCGATGGCGTCCCGGACGCCATTCCCTCCTTGGTGGCGGCGTCGAGGCTAAACTTCACCTGCCTCCCCCCTTCCCCTGCGCCCGGGTGAAAACCCTAGCCCCGGTGGCTAAGCGGCGGCGGCGCCACAGCGTCGTCACCTTCTTGAAGGCGCCGACTTGGGCATGGGGATGCTGGGTGTGCATGGCGAGCTTGTCTGGTTCCTGGTGGCGGCCCGCCTGATATGCTGCGTCGTAGCTCCGGGCAGTGTCTTGGGGCTGCGGTGCTTCTCTTCCGGCCGTGTCTCCGATGGGGACCTCGCCCTTCCTCACCTTGTACATGTCGTGGTGGAGCGGTACTTCATCTCACTCATTGATGGCGGCGAAGATCGGCGGCATGGCACTGTGGAGGCTCGCCGCCCGATGCGCGGAGATGGACTCGCGCAGGAGGAGGTTGCTGTCTGGCGTCGTGGTGACGTCGATAGCAGAGTGGCCAGACAAGGTAGAAGCCTCAATATGATCTGAAGACGGACCTGTGAAAGATGGCGGCGAAGACACACGAGTGCATCTGACCGGATTGTGCCCCAGACCCGGTATGTGGCTCGGCTGGGGCTTCCGAATATGTTTCGGTTTCCGGCTTTTTGATGTTAGGCTTAGGTGAGTGGTTTGGGTAGTGGCCCAGCTAGCACCCCTTCATCATTTTGGATAGGAGTAGCGGCATGTGTTGCCAAGATGGTGGATTCAGGCTCATTGTTGTAATACTTTGTATGGTCCTCAAGAATAATCAATAAAGTGGCCGTATGCATCTTCCAGATGCAGAGGCCGGGGGTCATCCTCCTTTTCTAAAAAAAAAACTAATATTGCTAGCAAACAACGTTCATGGAATAAGTGACGAATGTCATGCTAGTTTGGGTCGTGCAAATTTGCAATGGGTGACGGGTGTAATACAATCTGTCGATCAGTTTGCGTAGCAGGGCAAAGCACAAAAAAAAGGAAAGAGAAACAAGCATCGTTAGTAAGAAAAAGAAACAGTAAAAAAGAACCCAGAACTAGCTAGTTTTTTTAGGATATCCAGAACTAGCTAGTTGTATTTGAAACAACTTAGCGAACGCACATGATCAGAACATTACACTAATCCCAGGTCCAACTGGATTGGGACGAACTCCTCCGTAAATAATACTTCCTCCGTTTTTAAATATTTGTTTTTCTAGACATATGTCAACAAATGACTAAATACGAAGCAAAATAAGTGAATCTACACTCTAAAATATGTCTATATACATCCGTATGTGGTAGTTCATTTCAAATTTCTAAAAAGACAAATATTTAGGAACGGAGAAAGTACTATGTCCATAAATATAGCATCAGGGTATCTCCAACATTAACCCCTCTAAAACAGACGTTGTATTTGTCCACGAAATCGTTGGAAAACAAACTCGAGCTCCACACCTGCTCGTGAGCTGCAGAGGCTCGGGGGCAAGCCTCATTGCAAGAAGGGGGTGATGTCAGCAGCTCTGACAGAGCAACGCCACTATGTAGTGACCAAGGCAACTCGTTGCAGGCTAGGTGTCCAACTCGTCTGCACAAGGCCAACTAGGGTCACTGGGCCTACTGGGTGTGCGAAGGCCCGACCCATCCTCAACACTACTAAGTGCCAACTGCAAGACAAGGGTTATAGAGGGAAACTCCTATTTAAACACTTTGTGCGCCCGCTACCGAAGCGACACTCTTGTGCCAGTTCGCGTGGGCTGGCCCAGCAGCTGTCATTCATGCGCTCGTGCGTGTCGGGCTGCTCGCTCACTCTCATGGTTGATCAGGTGTCTGTGCCTTTTCAATAAAGTTTACAAATTTGAAAAAATAGCGAAATTCAACAAAAAATGTTTATGAACTAGAAAAACCTCACAAAAATTAAAAGTTCATGATTTTCAAAAAATATTGCGAACTAGAAAAATGTTCACAGATTTGAAAAAAGTTCATGAAATTGATTTTTCATGAATTTCAAAACGGTTCATGATTGAAAAAATTGTTCACAAATATGAAAACTGTTAATGAAATAAAAAAAGTTCGCAAATATGACATTGTTTGTGATTTTCAAAAACATTCACGAAATTGAAAAAAGTCCATACAAATTAAAATAAAAAATAAAAAAAATAAAAAAGAAAAAGGGAAAAGGAAATTAAAAAACAAAAAGAAATAAAAAGAGAAATGAGAAAACAAAAACTCAAAACCCAAACAAAACCATTGAAACACAAAGAACAAAAAAACCGGCCCTAATAAAAATGGAGAGGAGGTTCCCAACGAAATCACTAATTGAGGAGCGCTCCCCGCAATGATTAGTCGGGGAGCGCTCCCCGCGCGCCAAGTGTCACGCGTGGAGCGCTCCTGAGACTTTTCCGATGCGCTCCACGCGCGACACTTGGCGCGCGCACGGCTTCTCCCGTGATTTCCGGTTTCCTGTTTTCCTTTGTGGTTTTTCTTTTTTCACTTTAGTCCTTATACTTTTAATGTTTTGTAATACCTTTTGATTTGTTTTGAGAACTTTTTCTCTCTGGTGTGGGCGAACCCTCGTCGCGCACTGTTCTTTCTTTGTCGTCGTCTCCGCCCGCCGCGGCCGCCGCTCTTGTCGCGTGGTTACGGCGGTAGTTGTTCCAGCCACCGCACTTGTTGCCTGCTCTTACGACGGTCCTTCTTTAGCGTCGAGCGCGCTTCCCCGTTCGCGATATCGTCGTTCCCTACTGGTTGCCTTCGTGGGTTCCCTGTTTCCCTTTCTCGTTTCTCTTTTTGTTCCCATTATATTTCCGGGATATGGAGATTTATGGGGTAGTTACGGGTGGGGACTACCAACACTATCAGATGCCAAGTTTCAACTGGGTTTTGTGGGATTAGTTCTTGATAACCATTGTGTTCCTTGCAGTTATGGCTTGTCCTTTTTGCCGTATGCCTGGTGGCCCGTGTTCTTCTGTTGATTCTTCTGTAGATGGGTTCAGTGTGGTCCTGGATCGGTGTTATTGGAGGCGTGTTGTAAGAATATCATTTTATAATTGTTCAATTTTTGGTACACACACTTATTTCTTTTGGTGCTGCTCATGCTGTTTAGATTTTGATTATGATCCTTGTTTTGATTTGTTGTGCAGTATGTTCCGTGCAGTGTTAGAGCTCATCTTGCTCGTTACATCGAGGAGTGTAGGGCTTTAGCCATAAGGAGGGGTGACGAAGATACTGATCTTGCTCTTCAGTGCAATGGGGGTTATTTGTATGGTGTTCTGTTTAGTCATGGTCGGGTGAGGAGCAAATTCCATGGTCCTTCCTGGGAACGATTGGTTAGTGATTATGGTGTTTGTCCTCGTGATATAATGACTATTAGGCTTGAACATTATGGAACTTGGATTGGTATTGATTTTTATCGTGTTGGTCGTAGAGATGCGTTGTCTCCTTTACCGTCTGTTGGTAAGGTTTATTTTTAAGGAAGTTTTTATCTTGTTTTATTGTACATTTTGATTTTTCTGTTCCCTTGAGCCTGTGTAATTATATTTTGTAGCTCTACGTGGTTTGAGCGACTCTGAGAAGGAACTTGTTGGGAGTTGTTATTACACCCATGGTGTTTTTCTTAATTATCAACAGATGTATTTCATGAGGTGTCAACTATTTGATGATGAGTACATACCATGTTGTCCTTTTGTTCACAGGATTGATTCCATGAATGTTAATGGTCATCATATGGTCAGATTTTTTTCCATTGTTTTTTCTTTGTTTCTGTTTATTTATTTATTTTTATTACCTCTTCTATTTATAGTTTTGAATTTTTATTCTATTTCTGATAGCTTGATGTTTTTTGTCAGGTTATTCCTGGTATTGTTGTGAGGAGTTTGAAGGAGTTTGTGATTTTTCCTAGGACCGGTGTTTTAACTCTTGAAGTTACTCTAGAATCTAGTGATGATGATATATATGTGAGCACTCCTTGCTCCTACTTCATTGGTTTGGGTAATAGAATGGTGTTCAAACAGGAAGGTTTCAGTGATTTTCTCCAGGCATCGTCTATTGAAGTAAACAGCTTGGTGCTGATAACTTTCAAAGAGCGTGTTGGGAGGCTTGTTGTTATCTTCGATCCT